TTTTAGCTCCCCTGCACTCCGGCCATGAGTGAGCTGTGTCGGCCACAGGGCGCCCCCTGTTCCATGGCGCCCTGTGCGGTCGCACAGCTCGCACACCCCTAAGGCCGGCCCTGGTTGTGTTTATGTAACACCAACAGATATATACATTAATGATAGTTGTCAAGGAAAATGAGAAACAGGTCAAGTGGTGAGCCCTCTACCTTTAAAACACACATTTCAACAAAAAAAAAATCAATAATGCACCTTTTACTCCCATCATTGGTTAAAGGAAAACTGTCACCTTGTTTTTGCGATAAAAAAGATGACAGGGATATATTTCCTTTTATATCAGCCTGTCAGTTTGAATATTTAGTGCCCAAGTACTGAGAAAACAGAGGAACAGTTCACACCACTTTAACATTGTTTTCCCTTTTAAATGATTTCTTTAAGAGTTCTTATATAGGTATCCAAATCACGTTACATATTTAGCAATTGGTTGTGCTACAGACACACAGGTAATTAAACTACATATAATGGTACAATAAAACCCACTCCAAGCGATATCTGAAATGATTGCACTAAACGTTTCTTTCAAACACACCTGTACCTGCTCCCCAATGTCTTTCCCTTGCTCACCCCGCAGTCGTGCTGTAGTGATGGATGCAATCAGTGAATTGGACAGTATATGTTGCATGTTAGTTTATCAGTATGAGGAGCAGGACTGAGAGAAACACAGTAGTCCTCATCCAAGCTCACTAGTGATTGCTTAACGTCCCACACTTGGTGGCTTCATGTAAGGGAGGAGACGTGCAATTAAAGGGATCTAGGTCAACGTCAAAACACACATTCAGAAAGGCTTGTTACTTTATTTCTATCTATCTATTGTTTCAGTTTCTCCTACAAGTTCCTCCACAATGAGGTTTTGGGTGAAGTTCACTTGACGGAGCCTCCAGTCCGGGTTGGAATTCTCTTGGATTACACCACTGGAAGACTTTCTTTCTACAACGTCCAGAAGGGAAACTTGCTGTTCACCTTCAGACACAGGTTTACAGAGGCCGCCCACCCTACGTTCGCTCTGGAGGCCTATGGGGAACTTCATTTACACACTGGGATTGAACTGCCACGTTTTGCCAAAGACAGCTAATTACTCATTAGGGAGATCATTGTTTGCTGAAGGCCATAACCAAAGTTTACTCTTATAAATCTCTGCTTGTCCTAACATCCCTGTGTAGGCAGACTATGGGAATTATGCAATTAGGCATTGAAGGGACGATTATCAACAGTTTAGCTTCATATTTCATTTATACATGATTAACAGTAACATATTTATTTTGGGGTGCTAGTCCCCCTAGAAATACACATGGCACCTGGATTTTATGTGTACAGTTGGTCTTTAAAGTATTTTTTTTGGGGGTGGTTTTTTTTTTCTCACCTCTAAGTTTTCACGCTAAATATTTAGGGCAAGCAGGGTAGTCTCAGATGAGTTAAACGTGCAATAAATGTACTAATAGCAAAGCCCTCTTAATTTTTAGTAGAATCTTTTACTTTAAATGTGTGTCGGTGATCTGTGGGGGTTTTTTTTAGGAAAGAAGCTAATAGTTCAGATCAATGAAGCCTTAACGAAAGTCTTTGAAGATAATTGTAATTAACGTAAACTTACACTGACAAACTCTGAAATGGGAGCTTTTGATCCAATGCTAGAAAAAAAAAGAAAATCTTTAACGTTCGGCAAGGTTATTCAAACAAATAAATATATAAAGTATAATGAGGACGTCCGTTAGTTTCTGCAGATTAGTAAGAAAATAAATAAAATGCAAAAAGTTAGGTTTTACTTAGAAAGTTCTAAAAGATTAAAATGGGAAGCGATTTGTACACATTTAATCTGTTTTTAGAATATATTTGTCATTCATTTGTTCTTCTTAATTTATCAAACTGCAGAGCTTTACCTCCTCCCACCACAAATAATACAGTCTAATCATCATGTTTCAAAATTGAAAAAGTACATAAAACACATTACACATTAAATAAGAAAAAAATGTCTGTTTGTAGTCAGGGTAGGGGGACTCTAGTATACAGGTGCCTGTAGGCGGCTGCCGAACGCCAAATGTGGCCTCCCATCCGGCAGACTCTCCAGGAAGTCTTGCTCACTGGACTCTTTGATCAGATAACGGGAGTGATTTACTAGTTAGTAGAAGATAAAAAGCTTTGCTATTTAACATCGTGGTTTAAGGGCTCACTTGGTGGGATTGGGAAAACATATTTGTTGTTTGCAACTACTTATTATAACAATGGAAAAGTAACGTAATTGGACTTCACGCAATATCTGTAGAATTAACTTTACAAACTGTTTTTTTTTTTTACTTCTGTTAAATCGTAATTCTTTCTCGTAAATAATAGGAACGCGATTTCTACCGTTTCCTACAGAGCAATTTACTCCGGTTGGAAACTCTCTTTTTTTCTCCTACTGTAAAAAGTTTCGGTTCCAGTAAATGGACTGGAATATTGGGATGAGTTTTACTCATGGAGTGAAATTATTTATTTATGTATTAACTTATTCTTATATAAAACTTCCCCTATGCAGAGTGCTAGAAATTAGAATTCATACGATAATCAATTAGAAAGTTGTAATGAAGTCAAAGAGTAAATAATAAAACAGAAGTTAAACAGAGCAGGAGAATAGTATATATTTATAACCATAACTGGGGGGTGTAGTGATCGGGGGTGATGGTTATACGGGAGGGAAGTAGGGAACGATTGAAATTAGATTGTGTGAATGGAAAGGATCCAGTACGGGGATCGCGTTACGAAGTATCTGGAACTTTTTTTATGAAGAGAGTAATCTTTAAGTGTTAATAAAAGGGTGAGAGAGGACTGAACACGCACAAAGTGTAAAATAAGAAACATTCAACAATCTGCTATTTATAGTCGCTATAAACATTATTTATTCATTTTTAATCAAAGCTTAAAGATTGAGTTTTCAAGGCAGTGTCCCTTTTAAACAAACTATGAAAATAAGCATTTTTGAGAAAAGGTAAGTTTTTTTTAATATTAATGTAAAAATTATTTAGTAAAAAACAATGGATGAATGGTATTTCATTATTATTATTATTATTTAATAATATATATATCGCCATCAGATTCCGTAGCGCTGTACAATGGGATAAGGACAATACTTGAGGTATATTTTATTAATAGAAACAGAACTATGGAATTAAACCCATAAAATGGCCAATCCTTATTAAAACAGGGTAAATGTTAAAGAAAGGTTTTTATTGTTTTGTGAATATTTTGCACACTTTTAGTTTACTTAAATTCTCAAATTGTGAAATTCCACCCTCATATTATAATGCAGCTGAGGAACTAATAGCGTGCGTTATTTTATAGGTTGGTTCTATTATAAAAGTTACAATCTAGGAAGTATAACAACCTCAGCTTATTGTAGTAGTCATAGTGCCAGAATACTGTTCCTATGGTCTTTTGTCTAAATAATTTCTAAGACTGACAAAGTAGGGCTTTCAAATGGAGCTTATATCTGCTTGCTCAAGCCCTGTCACTCGGAACTTCTGCAACCAATTAGATGATAAGTCACTGCTGATGAGAAGGCCCTTGCAGACACTGCTCCAAATGCTCGTATGTCCAAACACTGAGTGATGCCAAGTGCGCCCAGCACAAATCATCACAGACAAGAACAGTTCTTGGACTTGCAAGTGTTAACTCCCAGAAAGGGGCCCCTCGGGCTCCCTCCAAGTCCCTCCACGTTCCTCCACGTCCAGGGTCATCTGAACAGCATTAAAAGCCCCCGGGCAAAGCAGTGAGGCCCTGCCTACACAACCACCCACGGGAATACAAATCTAAATTATAAATAACATTAAGCTTATATGTATTGGTACCTGCAACAAATTCAATACATACACACAGATTGCTGAATACATTCACATATAGCTGAATACACACAGCCACACAGCCTTTTGGATACATTTACACAGAGAAACTGCTGAGTAGAAACACACAGACTGATGAATACACAGACACACACAGACTGCCTAATACACAAAAACAGTATGCTGAGAACACACACATACAGACTGCTAAATACACATACAAACTGCTGAATACACACACAGACACACAGACTGCTGAATACACAGACACACACAGACTGCTGAATACACAGACACGCACAGACTGCTGAATACATACACACAGACTGCTGAATACACAGGCACACACAGACTGCTGAATACACAGACAGATTGCTGAGAACACACACACACAGACTGCTTAATACACACACACACACACAGACTGCCAAATACACACACACAGACTGCTGAATACACAGACACGCACAGACTGCTGAATACAAACACACAGACTGCTGAATACACAGACACGCACAGACTGCTGAATACATACACACAGACTGCTGAATACACAGGCACACACAGACTGCTGAATACACAGACAGATTGCTGAGAACACACACACAGACTGCTTAATACATACACACACAGACTGCCAAATACACACACACAGACTGCTGAATACGCAGACAGATTGCTGAGAACAGACACATACAGACTGCTAAATACACATACAGACTGCTGAGAACACAGACATACAGACTGCTAAATACACATACAGACTGCTGAATACACACACAGACTGCTGAATACACAGATTGTAGTGTGTGTGAAGGGGTGCAGTGTGGTGTGTGAGGGGGTGCTGTGTGTGTGTGATTAGGGTCTATACTACTGTGTGTGTGGGGTTAAGTGTGGTGTGTGAGGGGTGCACTGTGTGTGTGAGGGTGTGCAGTGTGGTGTGTGAGGGAGTGAAATGTGTGTGTGTGAGGGGGTGCAGTGCAGTGTGTGTGAGGGGGTGCAGTGCAGTGTTTGTGAGGGGATGCAGTGTAGTGTGTGTAAGGAGGGTGCAGTGTGTGTGAATAGGGTCTATACTCTGTGTAGGGTGTGTGATAAGAGAGCAAAGTGTATATATATCTATTTGTTTTTAAATTTAAAAAAAAAGAGAAAAAAGCTCTATGTCCCCCCCCCCCCACCCATCTTCTTCTTACCTTTGGCAATCTCTGGTGGTCCAGTGGTGGCAAGGGAAATTCAGCCTGCACCTGAATTTTTCAATGTAGAACTTTACTCTTCGGTTTAAAGCTCTGTTGTGTCAGTTTGAGACGTTAGTTAAATGAACGGCTACAAGGAAAACACCCATTGCACCATAAACACTGCACTACGCTGTGAGTGGTCGTGAGTCCAAAAACGTCCCTTTAATGCAGTAAGTGTGAAGCATTTCCATACTTCCTCATAACGTGTTGGATCTCGCCTTGTCCACATTATACCTTGGGATTGATGTCTGCTTTTCTAAGCAAAAGGCAATGGACGTCTGTGTGTTACTTTACCATATATTTCTATATATAGGCAACATGTCATTTTATTTCAGTTCTCTCCAATGAAATTGGCGTTTTTAATCTTGTCTGGGAAATAAATGTTTTATCTAAATTAAAGTGTAGAAAGTAAGTGTCCATTAATATAATATTAATATAGCTATTGTCCATATTTGCCAAATACATAGGCCCTGCATGTGTAAATATTCAGATATTATACGATAATTATTTATTTTTCTATAGCCTGTATCTCCCAAGATTATTCAATACAGGGAATAGGTGACATCACTACCCATCCCAATGTAGAAAAAGACCCTAGTGGGCATAGAACCTGCAAACCCAACAGGTCCTTTAAGAGGTGTATTAACCAAGTGAGCTATCACAGCTGCGTCTTGCTTAGACAATGCTTTACATAAATGAAAAAAACATATCTACCAGAGTCTTAACATTTCATTTTTCTAATTATTTTTGGAATTTGCTAAGTTTGGCTCCTCTTTGTATTTTCACTAATGAACAAAACTTGTGATATGACAATAGACCATGTGTAGGTTACCAAAAAAATCATCTCTTGACTTTGTTAGTAATGAAATGAGCAATTTTGCTTTGTGATAACTGAAAAGGGCTTTGTTTTTTCGATGAAATAAAACCTAAGATATTAAAACAATACGTTTGGTGACTATTTACTGAAATCAGGATTATCTATACAGTTCTAAAATGTTTTCACAGTTCTCCAGTGGCATACTAACAGGTGGTGGGGGAGGGAAAAGGAGGGGGAGGGGGTCTGCCCCGGTTGCCACACAGCCAAGAATGCAATGACCAATATTTGTTGGTTCATGTTTTTTTAAGAATATAGCACTAGGGGGCAGTATTGAATAAGTTTTCACATTAACATCTCTTTCTGAAAAAAAACTAAATAAGGATTTCATATTGCTGTAAAACGGAAGAAACTTTTTGGGAATTTACATCATAATAAAACATTGAAATACACCTAAAATTTGTGTTACCCTTTTTTCATGGGATGCTCCATGTCTTTCAAAAAAACGTATGTTCAAAATTTGTCAAATTACGGATGCGCTTTTCAAATGATGTAATATTTTTGGATAAACTTTACAAATGATTTAATATTTAGAAAGATATCTAATATTTTATTGAGTAAGAAAGTAAAGGATAGGGGAGACAGTACTAGAAAAACCAAAACTAAAAAGATGGTATATTGAAGGCAGCAAACCTAAAGTAGGGCTCTCTCTATGGCCCTACTGACAGAAATAGTACAAAAGGTAAAAGGAGAATGGTTGCGCCAAAGAAAAAACTATGTAAAAAGTTACTGAAAAAATTATTAAAAAAGTCCAATAGCAGTGGCTGGTAGTCACAAATTGAAATCACAAACAATAGCAGAAAGGAGTCCTAATACACAACTTGCCAGGGAGACAACCAACAGTCTGTTTGGGAAGAATGTTCCGGATGGGAACAACTTTTGGAATCCGCATGTGGAAACTAGACATGTGCACCAGTGAAATTTTGGTTTCGTACGAATAAATTCGTACTTAATAAAAATTGAATTCGTCCTTTCTGAATTTCATCTGTAAACCATTCGTTTTCAGACGAAATTTGTTAAAAAAATAATTAGTTTTCGTTCATAAGGACAAAAATACCACTACGCATGTGCAAAAAAAAAAAATAGAAAGGAGAGATCCGGCAGCACTACCATCTCCCTCCTTGTAATAACTATTCATACACCCCCTGAATTAAAACCTATGGGGATCACTATGACCCCCGTATTCAGAAAAGGGAGGTTAAATCCTCCGGTATACCGCAAGTACTAGTGCTGTTCCCCCTACCCCAACTTGGGCATATATGTTCCACAGAGGGACTGAAGACCCTAAAAGACATGAGTGGCAACGTGAACATAACCTTTCTCTTGCGACTGAAGCATAAACAATTACAGAGCTTTATTGCCACACCTACCAAATGGACAGCAATATCCTGGGCCCCCACCTTATTCAAAAGCACTTGCCTAGACCCGGAACCATCGGCTCATGGGGTCTCCTTCATATACTCCATGCTATTGACACATACTCCTACTGCCCAACCAAGGCAGAGTGGAAAACAATATGTTATCTCACACACCATTGCTCCAGCTTTAGCAAAACACAAGGGACAGCATGCAAACCGTTAACCTTCTGATACCGTACTCCCTCAACCCTCCACACGATCACCCTGGAGCACTCCCCTTTATGCTGGAGATGCGGGGAAGAGAGAGGCACTCTGCCCTATGGTGGGGATGGAAGAAGATCCTCCCATTTTGGAAGGGGATATACACCGTGCTAGAGCTATTCACGGAAAGTTCACACCCCTTCATACCTGCAGAAATGCTTCTACATCACACCAAGAGGGTGGCTGCACTCACCTGAACATGCATAAATGGGGGTGCTCCTGTGGGCCAAATAATACAATACACAAGATCCAGCGCACTCTCCTATCCACTAAACAGCAACTTCAATGTTGAAAGATTTCATTTGTTTTTTTAAAAACACCTAATCTAGGCAAAAATAATGGGGGTTTAGTTACATTATATGCTCATACATTGAAAAGGCTGCCACAACATCAATGTACCCCATCTTTGGCAGGTCCTACACTAACAGCCTAATGTCTGCTCTTATGAGATTAACCCACTTACTTTCCATCTGGGGCTCTCTGCAGTACAAGGCTAAATAGGGCCCTGGGATGAGGCACCTGTGACAAGGAGTTGGCTAGACTCCCAAATATATATATATGAAACAAGAGGGGGTTGGCAGCACTCACCTGAACATGCATAAACATGCACCCCCATTTATGCATGTTCAGGTGAGTGCAGCCAACCCCCTCTTGTTTCATATGTAGAAAGGCCATTAGGCCTGAATTTGTGGGAGGAGTAAGTCCCCTACTTAAACTCCCAGCCCCTACTCACCGCTGCCGCTCAGCTGATTGTCCAGCACTTCAGGTCCAGCTTCCCGCCAGAACTGTACCTGTTTTCCAGCAGCCAGACGCCCAGTTCAATCCTCCGTCCGTCCGAGGTCCATTCACTCTGTTTTCTCCCCAGTCGAGGTACCCGACTTCCGGTCACGAGACCGGCACGTTCACGTAAGCAAGGCGGGGGAATTAGCGTTCGCTATTCCCCGCCGTTCGGGCCTAAAAACGTAGGGGTAGGCTCCCTCTTTCGCATTTACACGAATACATGCTTTTCGTCAAAATCGCCATTCGCACCAAAAAAAACGCACGAACGTTCGGCTCATTTCACTATCGTTTAGCATATTCGTACGCAAACTACCGAATATATATTTAATGTTTTAAGCTCAGTTTTATCTATACTCCCTTTTTTCCGTTCGGTCATTTCAGCACCAACCTATTCGTATGGTTAAATACTCGAACACCGTCTTACTAATTTACATTCGGTTATTTTCTATTCTTTCAAGCTAAGCATGCATAAGTTCTAATCACACAAATTCTACTATTATTTATTCCTTCACATCAGTTTGTGGTTACACTATCTGTTTTAACTACCAGCATGGTGTTTTCCTACCTTTGATAAAACGATTAAACGTATTTTTCTGTAAATAAACATACTTTTACCATGGTTCATAACTTAATACGTGTCTAAATGTAAGCTATACCATTCTTTCCAAATAACACTTAGTTATAAGTCATTTAAACACTACTCACAAGTAATACCCATCACACATAATCCGTACTATTCCTTTCACATGAATCACGCTGTCACATTTTGGCTTTTACAGATTGCATCGGTCTCTTGCTTTTCTGCACTAAAGTTGTTATTTCAAGGTCCTTTTATTACAGGAACAGGTATGGTATATTATCACTTTGAGTTATCAGGTTTTTATCAATTACCTTCACATCTATCGCTAAATATGGAAATTGTCTTGGTTTAACCCTTAGATCCTGTATTAGTCTAAGCTTCCACCGTTTCTACGCAGTTAACCTGCCTCGATTAAACATAATCTCTGTACTTCAAAACCAAGGTATAGTTCACTCTCTTTTCAATACTAGACCTCACGCGGTCTCAACTCCATTACTACCTTTCCTCAGGCTTACGCCCAAGATACGTTATCTCTTTACTACTTGTCTACACAGACTTTCGGTCATACGGCCATCAGGCTCAGAAGACACCAAAAAACCTGACCCGGTACTCAGCCATACCTTCAGGTACTTACGTCCTTACTCAAGTACGTCCTTTCGCTACCCCAAGGCCTCATTCTGCCTTCTCACTCATATAAAAAATCATCCCATTCCTACACCTAAACCTCTCAGATCCCTCAATGCAGGATCTCACGTGGCGCCCCTAACAAACCTTCTCCCAATACTATTCATACGACATCACGATACGTATAAACACACCAACATCTGTCTTAAACCCCCAGGATTCTTCCTCAAAGACAGCATTAAGACAAGACTCTCTACACTTATCAGGAGGCTCCAGATACCATTTGTGACCAGTCAAGGTTAGTATCCACACACCACTCCAGTCCTCTCACTTTACCCTTAAGCATACAATCGAACTGGCTATAGGGCACAGGCTAATGCCTTAGCCCACCCTATCAGGAAATCCGATCCCGCGAGGCCTATCACCCCCACCCCACCTCAACACGGAGGTACGGCCCCACGCCCAAACCATAGTTAAGCCTCGCATGCCCTACTACAGGGCTCTAGTTAGGGCCTCACCTGTCACGGCCACACGTTTTGATTTCTCTTATCGTCACCGAGAGGCCAACATCCCGCCACCACGTCTGTGGCACCTACGTCATAAGCCAAATCATAGGTAGAGCCTCTCACCGCCACTTGGCATTAGCAGGGCCTCACCTATCCAGTCATTCAATAGTTACGTTTTTCGCCTCGGCATCTAGCATTACAGTCCAGTTCTTTCAGATACACCACTCCCCATACCCCCCCTACTTACCTCACTCCCCTTCTAATATATCTTTCACATAATCATTCCTTTTTTAGAATGTCCCAAGAACCAATTCCAACTGAAGAACTGTCAGAAGAAACACCATTCACGCCAATCAGACCCGTGTCTCCAGGCGAATCACTCACTCTTTCAACCCCCACGTCCTTGAGAGCATGGACTATTCCCAAAATCACGGCCGAGCTTAGGCTCAGGGGAATCCCCTTTCCGGCCACAGCTAGAAAGGCAGAACTTTACAGGCTGCTTACCCACCAAGTCCCTGAGCCTAGGCCGGGAACTAGCTCTCAAGGACAACCACCAAGAAACAGCACGGCCACCCAGGATACCCTGGCAGATATCTTGGCCAATCTACAGACCCTCAATAGCAGGCTGTCTAAGGTGGAGAGCGCCATCTCCTCCTCAGGTACTAACACCGTAGTCCCAGTCTCTACCACGGCTGCACCTGCCATACCTACTTGCCCCGCTATACTCCCCCCTCCAGCACCTGGCACAGCCATCACACCATTCGAATCACCAGCACACTCCGTCCCAGACTCTATCAGGAAAGATATCCTAGACGGGAAGGATGTGTGTCTGGTATCTTTACTCATAGCCTCTCAGGACATACTCGAGAACAAGGCATACAACTATGGTGACATTTCAGTTGTGCTCAAAACGAGGGATCCCAGGCTCAATAAAAAATTGTCAATCCCACAGTTTGTGATAGCTTTTGGGATATACCGCGACGTCATTTGTACGGTGTATCCCCATAGGAGAGAAGAGCTAGATCTCTATCTCCACAAGGTAGTGGATTTAGGCATCAAGTACGGGGGCTCTTCCTTCTATGACTACCACAAGTCAGTTTCGGCGAAGGCGGCGACCCATCTCAAGCAGTTCAACATTAGAATGAACTGGGGTCAGATGGACACGGAACTTTTCTGTCGCCACTTCGCTGGACTCAGGCCCCCGGCTTGTGCCATCTGTAATTCTACATCCCACATGGCGGACTTATGTCCCGTCGAACCAGATCCCACAACCTCCACTCCCACCCCTCACCCCACGTTCACACCTCACTCCTCTTTCACCCCTCACAACAAACCAGCGGGTGGTCTCCGGGATAAGCTGGGTAGGCCCATCTCCTTTTTAGGTAAAGCACAGGTGTGCAATAATTTCAACGCAGGCTCCTGCAGTTTCAGCGCCTGTAGATTATTGCACATCTGCTCCATATGTTTCAGGGCACATACCAAGACCATGTGTCCAGCCAGGTTGTCACCAAATAAATGACTAACCGACATAAATATCGACAACCTGGTTTTTTATCTAAGGTCTCACCCCAGCAGGCACTTGGTGGATTTTCTCACCACAGGTTTCTCACAAGGGTTTCACACAGGCATAGTAGCCATTCCCCCAGGTACACTAGAATGTCCTAATCTCCAGTCTGCACGTTTAGACCCAGTCGCTGTAGACACTCTCATTTCCGCAGAAACCACAAACGGTTTCATGATCGGTCCTTTCACCTCTTCACCGTTTTCCTCCTGGCGCACTAACCCTATTGGTATTGCTATTCACAAATATTCTAATAAAAAACGTCTCATTATCGATTTATCGGCACCGCACTCCTCTTTTGTTCCAAGCATAAACGCACTCATTCCAGCAGACGAATTCTCACTGCAGTACGTCACCATCGACGACGCCATACAGTCCATCATGACATCTGGTAATCGACCCTGGCTCAGCAAAACAGACATCACTAATGCCTTTAAATTACTGCCCATACACCCCTCACTCTGGCACTTACACGGTGTTAAATGGCGAGGGTATTATTACTTCTCAACACGACTCACTTTTGGTTCTCGAAGCAGCCCCAAACTTTTCGACATTTTCGCAGAGTCACTATGCTGGCTGCTTCTGAACGTCATCAGGTGTCACTCCGTTATTCACTATCTAGACGACTTTCTACTGATAGAGCCAGGGTCATCAACACCCACAGCAATCAATAGTACTACCGCACTTTTTTCCACACTTGGAGTCCCTTTGTCCCCAGCCAAAACTATAGGACCCACAACAAGTTGACCTTTTTAGGCATAGAGCTCGATTCTGTCAAACTCAGAGCTAGCCTTCCCCACGACAAACTTTCTCGATTGAGAGGGGAGATAGACACGTTCCTGCGGAATGACGTTTGCACCAGGAGAGAACTTCAGTCCCTTCTTGGATCTCTGAACTTCGCCATGCACATCATTCCGCAGGGAAGGTCTTTCATTTCCAGACTTCTTTGCCTGCTCCACGGAGTCCCGGACTCCGGCACTGTTTCTTTGGACCCCCACGCCAAGGCTGACTTAGCTATGTGGGGGAAGTTTTTGAAAGACTGGAATGGTATCTCCATGTTTATCCCCCCTCTCTCCACCTCTTCACCCATCATCCACACAGAGGCAGCAGCCAACACCGGTTTCGCAGCCATTTTAGGGAACCACTGGTTTAGGGGCCACTGGCCCACTGAGACGGATGCCTTGCCAGGATTCAGGGAGACCTCAACCCTATTTGAAATTTACCCCATTGTGGCGGCCGCACACACCTGGGGTCATCTCTGGTCCGGCAAGGCAGTAAAATGCTACTCAGATAACTCGGCAGCTTGCGATATCATTAACAAAGGGCGCTCATCATCTCTGACAATCATGCGGCTGATTCGCAAGTTGACCTGGCTGGCATCATCCAATCAGTTTCACTTAGTATGTTCTCACATCCCGGGTATTCACAACACCGCCGCTGACGCTCTTTCTCGTTCTCGATTCCAGGCATTTTCTCAGGCACTCCCAGCGGCTCACCAACAGCCATCCAGGACACCACGGTTTCACAAACTAATATTGGATTAAGCACACTCTTGCTTCACGCTAGATCACTCACTCACCAAGCATTATCACCCAACACTGCTATCACTTACAATAGGGCACTTAACATATTTAACAAATTCACTGCAGAATTCGGGCTACAAGGTGACTTTTCTATCCAAACCATGGTGTCTTTTGCCTCCTTCTGCCACCTACACCTTAATCTGTCACACAACACCATTAAACTTTACCTCACCGGGGTTCAGCACCACAGCCTCACCAATTTTCCTAACAGCACTCCGTTTTTGTCTTCATACCCCATTAAAAAGGTCTTGAAAGGTATATCAAAGGTTTCACCACCACTCGCAAGCACTAGATTACCCATAGACGGGCCTATCTTCAGGTCACTTTGCAATCTCCTTGACACAGCCCCATTTGATAGCTACACCAATACGGTGATAAAATCTGCCATATATCTCGCTTTCTATGGTTTTCTCAGACCTAGAGAGTTCACCGTGGTTTGTCAAGGAGATATCGCACTATGCCTTAAAACTTCACACCTCACCAAGGTAGAGGATCACTACCTCCTTTCTATCCCTACCACTAAAACCAACCGGTCAATACACCCTACAATAATTCCTCTCTTCTCTACTGATAATGCCTGGTGTCCGGTGAAAGTTCTCGACCAACTACGGTCAACTCATCACACTCACCTGCCAGACTCTCCGCTCTTAACATTACAAGGGCACCCGCTTACCACGGCAAAATTGATGTTACATGTCAGAACCATAGGCGTGCGCACGGGGTGTGCCGGGTGTGCCTGGGCACACCCTAATCCCCGTGCGCACCCCTATGGTTTGAGTCCTGCAGGAACAGCGTTCCTGCACTCTTTTGAGCAGGAACGCTGTTCCTGCAGGCACTCAGTGTCCCCCGTCTCACCTCTTGCCACTGTCATGGGAGGGCAAGAGGTGATGATTCCCCCACCCCCCCACCCTGCAGGTCAGCGCGCGGCGAGGGAGCTCTCTGCTCTCTGCTCTCTGCTCCCTCTCGCCGCGCGCTGATGCCGGGAGCCGGAATATGACGTCATATTCCGGCTCCCAGCTCGAGCAGACAGCCCGCGCGGCGAGAGGAAGCAGAGAACAGAGAGCAGAGAGCAGAGAGCTCCCTCGCCGCGCGCTGAGCTGCAGAGAGGCGCCCGCCCCCACTGGACCCCAGGGACAAGTCCACCAGCACTCCAGGTAGGAGGCTGGGTGGAGATTTAAAAAAAAAATTAAAATATAATAATTTGTGTGTGTCTGTGAGTGTGTGAGTATGTGTCAGTGTGTGTGTGTCAGTGTGTGTGTGTGTCAGTGAGTGTGTGTCAGTGAGTGTGTGTCAGTGAGTGTGTGTGTGTGTGTGAGTGTGTGTGTGTGTGTGTGTGTGTG